TTCCCTGGGTGATGTCTTGTTCTTAATCCCAGGCTGCTGTTCTGGATAAATATCCATCTGTTTGCTCCTTGCTGCCTCCATCCCACTCCAATCTAGCCCCTTACTTGACATTGTTTTGCCTCCTTCCTCCAGAATTAATGTGGGCAAAGCACTTCACCTGTTTGGCTATTAAAAAAAAACCCTCAGTATTGTCTGAAAGCTTTAAAAGTAATGCCAGGAGTGATACCTAACATGTGAAATTTCATCTCCCCCACAGTGGGCTTTTAGAGAATGAGCAAAAATCTTCCAATACTAACTTTGGGCTGCAATAGCAAAAGATGATCCTTCCATTTCTATCAGTTTTCCTAAGAACAAAGGCTGGCTTAAATTAACTATCTGTGTCCCTGTGTTACCAACAGTGATGCTAGAGCTTCTTAATAACTGATAAACGTTTTCAAGTGTGGAAGAGCATTTTTTTTGCAGCTAGCTTAAAATTTCACAGCCTGTGTGGCTTAATACAGAATTCAATCAAAATTCTCCATACATTTTTCTCTAAGCCATCAGGGAGATGCTAAGTACTTAACAACTTTACAGTCTGAGAAGACATTTACATGTAGTGTATATGTAAATGTTTTAATATTTTTATTTCAATGGATACATTGGCATTCATAGAAGACACATTCTCATGGTCAAATTCAATGGTTGAGCAGGTTTATCATAATCTACCAAGTTGTTATCCTCTCTTGACTTAATTTACAAGAAGCTCGGGGCTTAAATTTAGTGGGAGGCTTAGCAGTTCCAGCTGGAAGATTGACTTTTGTTCTTAAAAAGTTCCCCTTTACCCTTTTGGTGGTCTAGGGCAAAATAATTTTATTTTTTCTATTGGAAGGAGAATATACCAGAATATGTGGTATAGAATGGCTGATTTTTAGTAGATGTTCTTATTCATTCATGAGAAATTTCAGCTTGCAGCTCACCAAAGCAAAGCATATCAACCAGTTGGAAAGTCTTCCATGTGCAGATCAGGCAAGTTGGAGTACACTGTGACTGCAGTTTACATTTCCTAGTTATTTTGTGATGCCTTTCCTTTGACCTCCTTTTGTGAACAAGCTCTCAAATAACAAATGAATTCCAGTAATATCAACCCCAAGGCAGTCATCAAAGTAGACTGGTAAAAAGAGAAAGAACTTTTCTCCAGTTAGTGGCATTTCCATCAAATTAAGTTGATTTTTTCCCCCTGTTTTAATTAAGTTCATTTTTATTTCATATTAACAGAGCCTTGGCTCGATGTATGCAAAAGTGTGCAGCATCTTGAGTTAAGAGTAATCTTAAATGAAGGAAGTTACATATTCTAGTACATTGCAGTTAAGATGATACTTTTAAACTAAACATGAGTAGGAGATAGTACAAAGACTCTCTATAAAACACTGCAAAAATCAACTGTATGCAGGGATTCCTGAATAGTTGATAATAAAGTAAAAAGTGCAGGGCAGAAGAAGGAGGATGGAAAGCTGAACAGAATTGTTTAGGTGCTTCATGGACTTCATGTAGTTGTGTTTCCAAATAAATGTTTAAATCTAACGCTTACTTTTTATGTTGTTATAAATACATGCTTCTTGGTGGTTCTTTCTGCTCTGTAATAGGGCAAGTGATTGACATGATAGAATTAGACACTGTAGCAATGGTTAGGTTAATAGTATTAGTTTTGGTATCTCATCTGTTGGCTTGTGATTGTAATGCTGTCGGGATTTTCAGGGAAACTGGCAACATTGTGGAACTGCAAATCTAATTGCTGAAGTATTCTGTCCTGGCCTTCGATTCACAGCATTTCCTATCTTTAGCTCAGGAAATACCAGGATAAATTTGCAGTCTGAGATTAGTACCTAGCCTTAAATTGCAGCCAAATTCATTCCAAATTAGTTATTTTTTTAAAATATTTTTTTTCCTTTGACTTTAAAGGTAATCACTTTATCAAATTCTTTGCCCCTTGGTGTGGTCATTGCAAGGCTTTGGCCCCAACCTGGGAACAGCTGGCTCAAGCCTTTGAACATTCAGAAACTGTCAAGATTGGCAAGGTAGGTGAAGTGCTTAGCCTGAAAGTGTGTTTTGTGTAAATGTTTCAGCCAAGTGTCCTGCTTTTCTGGCTGTGATTTGCAAATAACAATTGTTTTGTTTGTCACCTCTTAAATCTTGTTATTGTCATAATTTCTATTTTAATTTTGGGATGGTTTGTGTTTGTTTTATTTTCTCACACATCCACAGTTGACGGGACTCTCCCTCATTTTAAGCAAGGGCTTATTAGAAACACAGCTAGCTCACTGTGTTTAGTAGAGAGCTGGAATAAGTCTAATGGTTATGCAGGAAATAGTATTTTGAGAATTTTTTAAATTATGTTTGCTATTTGTAGAACTTGATAGACTCCAGTATTTATTTTGAGTGAGAAGGTGACTTCTAATTTGCTCTTTACAGCATTGGATTCCTTAGCAAGCTTTGGACTGACAGGGCTCCTTATGATGAAATATTTCTTGCTTCCTTTTTCTTTTTTTTTCCTCTTTACCCCCATAGAACTTTCTAAAGGTTTCAGGGGGTCTCCCACCATAAAAACTGATATCTTGTCCTGCTTTACTATTTCCCCTAGGGTTGATAACCAGGTTCTGTGGTGTATTTACCATGGGAGCTTATTACTTGTACGTGGAGTGACTTCTGTGTGGAGGTATGGAGGTGGTCTGGCAATTGCAGTTAGTGGCTTTATTTGCTGACCCATACCTAAGTCAAGGTGGCTCATAATGTGAATCCCTTTGTTTTTGCCAATGGTGGAAAACTGACTGGGCTCAACTTCTTCTTCTTAAGCTTTCAGAGTGATTCCACTTATCTGAAATACTGCATAGCAGCAGTGTTGTCAGACCTGCAGAGAGACAAAAAACCCCTTATCTCCTCTGTCTCTGCCCTCATAGTGCTTTCAGCTGTTACTAGGGGTGATGAGCTTGATTTATTTTTGTTTTTAATTATTTTTATCTGCAATGCTTTTGCAAATCTGCTAATTCAGGTACGCTGTAGATATACAGAGCAGGTCAGCATAGTTGAACTTTAGAGAAGACACATATATATACACATATATGCTTATATATACATAAATATAATTTTGAGACTGGGTGGATATAAAATTAAAATTTCTTCTGAGAAGAAGATTATCTGAGGCTATTGCTCCTTCGATGCTGTCTGTAGGAAATCTTGCATCTGCTGATGTACTTTTGAGAACCTTGCTTTCTGCCTGATAAAATCCTTGCTGAGTTTAAGTAAGTTTGTGACAAAAATTTCCAAATTCGTTTTATTCCGATATCTGTTGTGCTCGCAGTTACTGGTAATTGCATCTTAATAAAGCCACTAAAATTTGTCTGGATGCCTAGTCGATTTTGTGTAACTGTGCATCTAATGAAACTGTTTGAAACATGTTTGGGCTAAAATTGCAAGTCTGGAAGTAAACAGGAAACACGACTGTTTCTAAGGAGGATGAACCATGACCTTAATGTAATCTGGGGGAATAGGGTCTTAACAGCAATGGTGCCTGTTGGCAGGATGCTGTTTAATCTTTGGAACTGATCTTCAGTGATCTGGAGCAAAGTGTTTCTAATGTAAAATTCAAAATCCAAGTGCTGTATCGAACAAAGCCTCCAATGCTGCTTGTATTTGTTCCACTTCAAAAAAAGTGAAGTGAAAAATTTGTGAAGTTGAGAACTTCACAAATTGGTTTATGATATATTGAACATCGCTCTGCCTTTGTAACTTCCCTTGGACTAAAGTTAATTTGCTAGCTGCTGACATGTCTTCTGAAGTCTTTAAGGAGTAGTCTTTCTAAAAAATGGATGAGCCAATATATCTTAACTTTAAAGCTCTCTCACATTATAATTTTGTTTCTTTATTGTCCTTGCAGTGATTTTATTAATTGAGAATACCAAGTACTACTACTTACATTGTTCTTTGTAACTGTTCCTTCTTACTTCTATCTGTGCCCTCCTCCCTGATACCTCCTAAAACAAAATAATCATGCACACAGCCTCCCAATTGTACAACCAAACCACTGTGTGAAAGACAGACATAATCCTTCTCAAGGCAGTACCTGGTACTGAGTTTTGCTAAGCCATGTATTACTTGTTCTTGGATTTTGTTCTTTCAGATTTTAAATACAAGAGAGGCTGTGATGCTGGAATGTTTACTTTATGCACTGAGTGGTTTAAATTTTTTTTTCAAAATGTAGGTTGACTGTACCCAGCATTCTGAAGTCTGCTCTGAGACTCAAGTTCGTGGCTATCCCACACTCCTCTGGTTTAGGAATGGTGAGAAGGTGAGTCTGCAAGCTCAGCGAAAAATCAGACCATTTTTTTCTGAATACTACTCTGACGATGTTTGCATTCTGTGAAAAAAAAGATCAAGTGGTCATATAGGAATGTCTGAGACAGAAGGATGTTGGAAGTTCAGTCTGGTACTGGAAGAAGTATCCTTCATCCACAGATAAAAGTTAGAGCTTTTGCTCTTTGTGCTCTGCAAATAACTGCTGTCACGTTCACAAATCTTTAAGTATTATCTCAAATTATGGGTGTATCTCCAACTCTGGATGTACTTTATCTTAATATCTTACCTCCTATGGATCAGGAAAACAGATGAACTAGAAATAATAAAAAATACTTAATTTTCACAAAGTGTGCCAAAAGGTTCTCATCTGTAAGTAGTGCCTATCTGTGATGTCTGAGTGATGCAAATTTTCCTTCTTATAAATCTGAACACTTCATACGATGCTGTGTGAGAGTCCTGTGGGCCCTGTTGACATTTTCCTTGTAGCTGTTCAAAGAACTAAAATATTCTGAAGTTATGAACAGCATCAAATAAACATATTGTAAAGAATAGTGTTACTTTTCATAAGTTTCACACTTTCAAGATAAATGTGTTAATTGATATTAAAAATAGGTCTGCAAGCAGAGAATCTAGGACTACCCTTTGAGTTCTTACCCACTAAGTTTTAGGGCGGTTGAGGTTTTTGCCCCATTCATCTTGCATTCCTTTTTGAACACCTAGAGTATCAGGTACGTAAGTTTTGCTACTCACTCCAGTTTAGGTGCTGTTGCCTGAGAGCATTTCTAGAGAGCATTGTCTCACTGTTTGGGTTTTCTGAGGATGTGTGACAAGTGTGTGGCCCAGAGGAGAAAACTGGATAGTTCAGGTGGCATTGCAAGTCAGTCCTTCAGCCCTGTCAAAACACTGGGCAGAGCTTTCATGGTAACAGAGACCATCACCACACAGCAAGGGGTATTTTATTGTTCCTTGTTGTAGTTTTATGTTCAGAAAAATAAAGCCTTGAAAATAAGCTGGCTGGAGTGACAGATGAAGGTTAAAGTGGAAAGGTTTCTAAAATTTGCTCCTCCATTTCCAAAATGCCTTTCATTTCAACAAAATTTTGCTTTGTTCGTTTTGGGTTCAGAAGAGTCTATGGCAAATACTGAAGATGTGGAGTGAATGCACTGCCATGGAGAGGTTTTAATAACTAGATTTATAGATTGTATTTATTATGAATATGCTTACACTTTGCAATCTTATGATTTGCTGATAATTATTTATTTGCTAGTTATTTATTTGCTAGTTATTTATTTGCTAGTTATTTATTTGCTAGTTATTTATTTGCTAGTTATTTATTTGCTAGATTAACTGCATTACACATTTCTACAAACTATTTGATAATTGTAGGGTGACCAGTATAAAGGGAAGAGGGACTTTGATTCCTTAAAGGAATATGTGGATTCCCAACTACAGAGCTCTGAGAAAGAGCCACCAGCAGATAAACCCACCGAAGCCCCACAGCCACCCGAGGAACCCACCCATGTTGAGGTAAGTGCTTCTGTTTTCTGCAGCAATGTTAGGAGTGTTCAAACTGTTTCAGCAGCCTATCCAAGTCTTCCATGTATTTCTATCTCTGATAGGTTGACAGTTTCTAGATGTAAACTGTATCAAATACTTTCCTTGTTACTGTTTTAGTAATTATTGATGATGTGATGCTTTTACTAACCTAATTAATTGGAAAAGAAAAAAAAAAAGCTCTTTATTTATGATTGCAATAAGCTGTTTAGATGCAATGTGGTCTTTTTTGGTCTGTTGAGCTGCTGGCACCTTTGTCTGTATGACAGTGTATTTCCTCACTGTGGAGATGAACATCTCTTGCAGGATTCTCATCTGGACCCAGGAGGTTGGTGCACTCTGCTAAGCCCCTAAAAAAAAAGCCAGGGTCCTATACTTATAGACTATCTGCAGAAACAACAAACAAGCAAAGATTGTGAAGACTGATCTAAATGTGGCAAGGAAGTGTGTCCTGTGACAATAAAACTCCTCGAGTTTGGAGGCTAGTTCTTCTAATCCTGGTTGTAGGAGCTACAGGGGTTATGAATGTTGCCAAGGAATTGGAAGGAACAACTTTATCACTTTTGCATGGTTGTGCTTCATTGTAATTTAGTTTTCTGTCTCTTTTAGTCACTTGCATTTCTTCTGCCATTTTTCTTGTAGCTGAATTTGAAGTTGGTGAGGTTGAGAATTTAAGGATGGTTTTCAAGCATACATTTTCATCAGATGTGGAAAACATACTTCTGCCTAGAAATAAGTGATGGTGGTTTACACCCCTTTGTGACATAGAATGAACTTATGTAATTAAAAAGCCTTAAAATCACTAACATAAATACAGTTTATATGCAGCTACTTGCAGGAGAATATTACCTTTCCCAGTTGACTTTTCCAGCAGTATTGTTCATCTTATATAAAGTGACTTAGCAGACATTATAGACAACATAGATTTGTAATTTTCATGCCCATCAGTTTTAGAGTGTTTGTTTTTTTGTGGTTTTTTTTGAAGGGGAGATCTGAACAAACTGGTATTGGTACAATGCAGAAATTAATTAGTTGTCTTCCTATTTTTTATAAAAATAACACAAACCAAATGTGATGCAAATTCCCACTTATGTCTTGCATGCACCAGAACGTATACAGACAGGAAAAGATTGTGTGGGGGGATTGTTTTGCCAGATAACAGTAGACAGAGCACAGGGCTCAACTTTGTAACTTTACATCATAGTTTTAGATGCCACCATTCTCGGTCACTCAACTTCAGACACCTTGGTTCTGGTTTTTTTTTCCCATGACTTTTGAAACAAAAGCCAGCAAACTGCATTTACTATCAGCAGCCCACAGCTGGTACCATGGGCAGCAGAAGCAGTGAGTTCCAACTCCAAATTTATGTCCCAGACCTGAACTCCTACATGGATTCCCCCATGTCTTAAGTGGGCCAAGTATTTGTCAGTCCTTTCACAGAAGCTGAACTTCTGTGTCCATGAGACTTCTCTCCTGCCAAACCTCACTAATACTACTCAAAAATTGTCCATATGGGTTAAGTTAGAGGGACCAGCAGATGCTCAGATTTGTGATTGCATAAGCTGTATTTTCTGAAGAAATCAAGTTAAATGAACTGTGATACTCATCTTATTTTTGTGGTTATATGGTTTATGTTGCTATTCTGATAGTAATCTGCAGATCTTTAAAATGTAGATCAGGGGGAGGATGTTGTTTAAGCGTTATTCAAATTTGTTATCTTACATTGTAAATTACGTTTGAAACATCTGTTCTAGATATCCATTTAGGAAATTCAGAATAGAAGAATATGTCTTTACCATTCATTTTTCTTCATTTCATTATTTGTAATTATTTAATAACTAGTATAATTTCTAAATAATTCTGTGTAGGCAATAACACTTCAACCTAATGAAATAACTTAATTTCATCAACTAACAGTTACAGAAATGTTTATCCAGTACCTTTAATTTGCAATGTCAAGTTTCTTTTTGGCTTTTCTTCATAAAAATCTTACTGGGTTTAAAGTAGAATTGGTAATATTGTCAGTTACACTCTTTTCTACTGTTTTCATTTGAATTTGAAACTTTTATAGGCATGAGATTTATTTATTTTTAATCCCTCTCACCCTTAAGGGTCTCATGCGAAAAATGAGGTTTGTGCTCTCGTTTGAGATGCTCTGCAAGCAAGGTACCATCCTCCTATCATTCCCAAGCCATTGCTTCTGATGTCAGGCATAAAAATTCTTCTGGTGTCCATGCAAATATGGTGTGGTGATGTCCTGTTGAGAGACAGATACATGTTCCTAGTAACATCACTTTCTATGTATGCAGCACTGGGATGTAGCAGAGGAACAGCTGTCAAGACATCACTAAGATGCCTTAAGTGCATCGTTAAACTCACAGATGGCCATTATGTGCTTTAAGCCAACTCCTCTCAGAGTTGTTCCTTGATACCTTTGCGTGACTGTGTATTAAAGTAAAGGTGATTTTTTTCCAACAACTGAAAAGTTGGATACAGGCAAATCCCCTGAAAATCATGATGTTTTGATTTTTCAATTATGGATGAATTTCAGTGTGAAATACGCATTTCTCTGCATCTCTCTAGGGGAGGAAAGCAGTCAAGGGCTTAAAGTGGGGTGTGCTGCTCCTACTCTTGTTTATATATCAATAATAATGTATTTTACATTTTTTAATGTATTAATAATAATGTCTTTTACAATATGAGTTTTCCTTTCAGGTAGCTAAAAACTTGTTTGGCTTTTATATACAAAATGTTTGGCTTTTATATTCAAAAAGTTTTGACTACTTGTTTTTTTAACAGGCTGCAGTGCTCTCCCTCTCTGAAAAAGACTTTGATGCAACCATTGCTAGGGGGATCACCTTTATTAAATTCTATGCTCCATGGTAAGAAGCTGGCACCTGTTGTTCAGGATTATTGCTGCTCTGAGCTGTCAGTACATTAATTGCTGTGAGTCTTGGAGTTGTGCAGTAATGTATTCGTTGTCTGGATCTAAAAAGAATTAACTGAAGAATGTGTGTGTTGGCAAGAGTTAACAGCAAGAAAAGTCGATCTGGTTTAGCTTTCTTGGGATCCTGCTCTGTGGAAAGGTTGACTGAGAAACTTTACTGTGTCAGCCTCCAGGTAATGCTGGGGAGCAAAGAGAGTGAACTTTCTTTGCAGGCTTAGTGTGCTCCTATCCCTTGACTAGGGAAAAGTGAGGGGAGTGTATCACCTGTGTGGAGAAAGGAGAGCATGCTGACCTTTGGGCCCTGTCTTCCCACAAGCAACCTCTCTTGAAAGCCTCATTTGTGCACTTGGAAATGCTGTGGATAATCAGCTGTTACTCTTGAAACAGACAAAAAACTATTTTGCACAAGTGACAATTTTGAGATGTCCTTAAGACTGTATTCCATGTAATATGTTCTTATAGTGACTCAAGGTAGAAATATCCAATACAGACGGCATAGGGGGAAATACCTACCTGGCATCTGCCATTACTGGCACATCCAGCGCAGCCTGGAACCAAGCTGGGGTAAGACCTCAGTCTTACAAAATCACAGAACAAATATTTCCACCCCTTTCTTTCTGTTTACTTTCTGAGTAAAAAGAAAGAAAATTGTCTCTCTGCAGTTCTCTCAGGAAACTTGCACACCATCTTTCTCCTCCATTGCCCAGTATTTTTGCCAATAGAAGGAAGATTAGTGTAGGGGGGAAAGATTAAAATTAAGGTATATTTTACCATGTTAAAGATAACGCATCTCTGATTTCATCACTAGGCCTCCTATCAATGCAGTATATAAAATATAGAAATAAATTTTGTTTGTGGTATTAGAAGGTCACCATTGCAAAGCAACACAAGCAAACACAACCCCTATTTAAATGTGCTCAGGAGTATCAAAATATTGCAGCTTAACTTTGACAGTAGGTTTGAGTGTGTTTCTTATTTTTAGGCAAGAAGTACCAGGGAAAGCTTCATGTTATGTAAATCTCAATGATGCAGTCTTTTCCAGTGTTGTCACCCTTTTTACTGCAGTGTGGTTTCGTGTGTGAGAGCCACTTGGATACTTTCTTATGTCTGAAAGGTCTGCTTTGGGATGTGAGCAGATATCTGTCATGTTAAGGAATACCGTGCCCATAGACACACAATACCCTTCATGTTTCCAGCCCTTCACTTCCTTTATGCTTTCTGTACACTGGGAGCAACTGAAATTCAGTCTGTGACTGTGCTGCTACTACAACACCAGCAGACCTGGCTGGTAAATTCAAATTGCACTTGTGCTCAAAGCAGCATCTACTCTGATGCCTGAACCCAGGGCTTGTTGGCATATGTGGGCATTCATTATCTGAGAAACTTTTCCTGGAAAAGTTTGAGATAAATAAATGTTCTCTTTTAAATTAACTTTTCTTAATAGTGCTGCACCTTAACCATCCCCTCATCTCCTGAGATTCTAGTGGGATGCTGCTGGATCTCACAGATACCATCAGTGTTGGATGGCAGGCTGAGAAATAGTGGTTCAGGATGCAGAGAGTCAATGTCTGAAAGTAGTGTGTGCTCCCTGATTGCACTGTTCAGAAAGCCACCATTTAGGAAAGTACTTCCTGTTTTTATGTAGCTGGTATCCTAGTTTTAGCTCTGGAAGTTGGGCTTATGTAGAAGTTCTAGCACTCTGTATATAAATGACCTATTTCTTCTCCAAGTGGATTAACTTATGTAGGGCTCAGCAAACACTATTATGTTGTTGCTTGTTGTTGTGTCTTTCAGTTAGTTTTGGATAAATATTAATGTTAACTTGCATAGTAAGCATAAAATCATCCTGTTCTAGTAGTTCTGTTGCATGGTCAGAAATGCTATTATACTATCACTGTGTATTAACAAGGTGGTTTAAGTATACACTGGCTTGTATTAAGAAAACTTCTGCAGAGACATCTTTCATTTTTTTTTTGGTGACTGCCCTGATCCAGCCTCAAGGTAATTATGGGGCTGTTTTAATAACCCAATTAAGGTGCAGCTGGGTTAGAATTGAATGAGCAATGCAGCTTTAAAGTCTAAAGTGCTTTGGGAATTCTTCTTGAAGGCAGTAAGAAGTTCAAGCTATGAACTTGGCTACGCCAAGTTCAAAATATAAACAAACTAATACCTGACTATAGTTCCTGCCATTTTACAGTACCATTTTCTGTCTTGACCCTAGTGCTTCAGTGTGTGTGCTCTGTGCCCTGCATTCTCATGTTACTGTAGAGATGTGAGGGAGTAAAGCAGAAATAGGCCTTTTGGTGTTATTGATGGAATGATTCTCTGTTTAATGCAAATCAAAAGAGGGCCTGATTTATTTAGTTATTTATTTTACTTGCTACATGAAGCTTTTTGACCATCAAACAATTCCATTGTGGATCTATCTGAAGGTACAGTAGTAGTGGTTAAACTTCAAAGTACCTTCAGTGAGAAAGTGCATTACAGTCAAGGAGGCCATTAGGCACTGGAAGAAATTTAGTGGAGAAATTAAAATCTCATTTAAATAATTAAATTCAAGTTGTGTAGCTTTAGCTACATATAATTGTCATATGCTACCTGAAGACATAATTTGTACTGCAGACATTCTATGCATTTCTTAAAATGTTTGTTCCTAAGCAAATTTTTTTAAATTAAAATGTTCTCTTTACTCATCTTTATTTGGGTTTGTATTTCTCTATAGGGGAAAACATTAATGCACTGGCATCCAGATGAGACTGACAAAGGCCAGGAACTCCTTCAATGCATAACTTACATAAAATCACTCATTTTCTTAGCTCATTTACTGACATAATAGTACAAGGGAGTTGGAGGGCTAAATCATGAGGGGATAGGAAAGGCAGCTAGTTAAACTTACAGCTATTGCAGCAAGACAGTACAGATAAACTGGAGGGTATATCTGCTAAACAAATCTCTCTTTTGTTTCTAGGTGTGGTCACTGTAAGAACTTGGCTCCAACTTGGGAGAACCTTGCCAAAGAGCAATTTCCAGGTTTGACTGATGTCAAAATAGCAGAAGTAGACTGCACTGTGGAACGTAACGTCTGCAACAGATTTTCTGTAAGTGTGAAAGATCTGAAGTGAACAGGATAGGATTGTGTACCAAATGTTAAAGGCTTCAGCCTGTGGCTGAGCCAGCTGCTGCATTGTGGCTTCCTGGTGACACTGCAGCTGTGTTCTCCATTAGCCAGAAAAAAGAGGTAGTTCAGAACAGCACCTGGTGACACCGAGTCCCTCCCAGACTGTTTGTTCAGACTTGGTCATATTTATTATTGGATAAAGCTGCAGAAGTCCCTAATTTAAGAAGCCTTCCCTGTGAAAGCACCAAATCAGTCTTGGAGTAGCCAATGCAAAGTTCTGTTCCTAGAAAAAAAACAAAAAAGAAGTCCTATGGAGCTGGTAGGCAGAAAACCAAAAGCAGAACTGGAGCTGCCATTCCCAAGTGCTGGTGGAAGAGCCTGAAAGATCATGTGTTACCCCATTCACTTACATCTGTTCAGGAATTGCAGGTTGGCATTGGGAGTTCTGGTGTGATGTTTATATTTGTGGTTGGTTGGTTGGGGTTTTTTAATTAAAATGATTTACTGTTTTAGAAGGATTTGGTGGCTTTTCTGGGTCAGGTAAATACAAGTGGAGGATACCAGTGAGTTTGAACATTAGTAACGAGTTTCTTATTTTTTATTTTTTTGTGTGTGTGTCTTTTGAAGGTACGTGGTTACCCTACACTTCTGCTTTTCCGAGGTGGAAAGAAAGTCAGTGAACACAATGGAACGAGAGACCTTGAATCCCTGCATAGCTTTGTCTTGCGTCAAGCAAGGGATGAATTGTAATAAAAGTCTGGATGCTCCGTCCCTGGCTGTCTTTGTACAGTAGCTGAGGGATTGCAATCATTGCTAATTTTCAAATAGTGTATTGGGGAGCGGGGGGGAGGGGAGGTTGGGGCATTTTTTTTTGTTGTTGTTTGTTTCTAGGAAAACTGAATGTACTACACATTGGTATCTTCCCTCTGTGTGTGTGTTAAAGACGTGCTACCCTGTGTGTGTGAAGGAAAACTAACAACTAGTTACTGTGCAAATTGAGAGTATTTTCAGCATTGGTAGTATTGCTGCATTTCTGCATCCCTGTGATGAAGTGTAAGTGGTTTCCTTTGAGACTAAAATACATTAAGAAAACCAGCTTAAGGACACCCCTAGAATATTTTTGTCTTCAGGTTAGATTTGGTTAAAAAGTAACCCTTACAGCCTGCCCACCATTACTAGAAAGGTAAAAGCTATAGCTGTGTTGAGTCGCTTTTGCCTCTTCATATGTTACTTAAACCCTATTTGTCCTAATATAGCTGCTGGTTAAGAGATGGAAAGTCACAGGAGGTTGAAAAAAAAAACCACACACACTGTTGGAAGATACCAGGCCAACATGAGCTGGTTGTTTCTTGTTAACCCTCTCAGCATGGGAGGTCTAGCCATAATGAAAGTGATGGTACCGTAATATGTGCCTGAACATTACTGATGCCATAGTGTACTTGTGTCAGGTGAATCTTTCTTTTTTGTAGGCTGCTTCTGTCCAGCTCCTGAGGAGTAACTGTGCTCTACTTGTACAGGGCCAAAGTGCATAGGCACTTTTATAGCTGCTCTGTTAACATTAAAGAATCAGTTAGCCTCCAGAGCTGATGACGTGTTTCCTACCCTCGCCTGAATCCAGACTTTGTGCTGACCTGCTCCTTATTCAGAATACTTGGAGAACAACAACTAGTACAATGTTTATTTTTTTTCCCTTTCAGTTGTTCTACAGTAGTATAAATTAGTTCCCTTTTCTTCTTGAGCCTTAACCTTTTTCCAAGCTATAAGCATTGATAAGTTTGAATGCTAGGACCATGCACTCGGTGGTGCCTTGGATTATAATATGGATCTGTTCTTTGGTGCATAAGATATTCCATGTTAGACATGAGTGAAAGCCAAAGAATTTATACTGCAGAAACTGTCACAATACAATGAAAAGAGCAAACCAAGAACTGAATTTTGCTGTCTTGTGTGCACAGAAACTCATGGAATGAAGATGGCTACAGGCTAATTTGACTAATCTGTCAAGATACTGATTTTTTTTTGTCCATCATATGGAGTAGATTGGGTTTTTTAAAAAAAGAAAAGGCAAAACACAAATGAACTTTTAAATCATCAAATTTCTCCTGCTACTTCACTGTCCGTCCAGAACTTTGGATTCTGTTCAATGTAAAAATGTGTAAGGGTGAAAAAGCCACAGTGAAAGCCAAGTGTTGTACTGGCAGATGTATTAGATCAATGTATGTACTTCTGCCTTAAAGGAAGCCTTTATTATCATGTTTTTAACAACTTTCTAGTGAAGCACAATCTCATGAGTTTCTTGTATAAAATCAAAGTGGTACAATTGTTTACACTGAGATTTTTCTAAATAAAAACTTTTTTTAAAAAAGCAGTCTTTCTATAAATGATACAGCACAATGAATATACAGTGACAAGTGCAATAAATTATAGCTTGTATTTACAAGAAGCCTTTTAAATGCAAGAATTAGAGGTAAGTGCATTTAATACAAGTTTAATATTGATCAAAACAATTTGCTATTAGCTTCTGCTAGTCAAACGATGGCTACACTGCGAACGTATCCTTTATAGCAGCTGGTTAGTTGCATGAGTTGAAGGGGAAGGGTTGGCCAAATACTTGCATATGTTGACATTTTGTCTTCCTGTAAATAAATTGTCCAACTAGAGAATGAATGGCCCCTAAACTTTTACTTCTGAAGTACAGCTGTAGAAGTGTCTTGACTTCCTTCCTGGGCAAGTGCTAGTATATGAGTGGGGAGTGGAAGGAAGTTGCACAAGAGCAAGTGTGTTAAGCTATATTGCTTTGTCAGATACTGAACTGGAAAGACCAGCTGGGGTCTGAGTTCACACTAGTGTTTCTAACACAGGATGCAGCCAAGCAATCTTAACTCTTGAAGCATCAGACTTATTAGACTGTGCTTGGAGAATAAGAACTGAAACATTTGCTTTGGCACAATTTAAGATGCTTATTGTTGTGACAGATTTCAGGAGGATACTAACAGTCTAGGTATAGTAACTGGTCCTTCTAGGCAGAAGGCAATTCCTAACCTTAGAAATGTTATATTGTCTTGTATGCTCTAAGTCTGAAGTGCTAACACTCCTTTCTTCTCAACTTCCCTGCCTCTCCCCTTGTCTTCTTCCTTCCCCCCAGAAAGAAAGAACAAACCTCTCTCATTTTGGATGTTTGGTGCCTATCTGGTAAAACGGCAGCACCCATCCAAGAAACTGCCAAGGCCAAGCTGCTATGTGAGATTAAGACAGTCCCATCCAGCTAAAGCGTGTGTGGATGTATTGCTGCTTTGTGCAGCCCAGCTCTGCAGAGCTGAGTGCCACCATGCACAGGGTCAGTCTATAGGAAGTCCAGCAGTTTGCACATCCCCCTCTGTGCATTCCCCACACCCTTTTCTCACACAAGGCACATACATGGTGTTCTGAAAGGTGGTTCATCAATTATTCTTTTCTCCAAGGCCAGGTAGTTCACGGAAGCGGGGAAGGTAGTATGGAAGTTCATGGTAGAATCAGAGTCCATGTGAAGACTGCTTGTCAGTGACATCCACAAGCTCTTACTACCATATTCCTGTATTTCTTCAATATTACGTTAGAATTATCATCAAAATAAAGAACAGATATGGCATTTAGTTTGGTAGGTGCACAGCATGGTTTGGGAACGTAATCAGGATTCATAAGATGAACCTGTTGCCAAAAAGAAAATACAACAGAGACAATGGTAACTTGTTTCCAAATTCACCTATTACTTTGGCATCAAGCTTTCTGGAGACTTACCAGAGTCTGTACAATGGCATGATTGGTCGCATTCATATGGGCATTGAGTGGGAATGAGCACTCCCCATCACAGTAGTTGGCTGCGTAGCCCTTTGGAGCGATTATCCAGTCCTTTTTAGGAAACAAACAGAATGTGATTCAAATTAAAAAGTTGCCAGCTTGTACAGACAACTGCATGCAATTAAGAGCAGCTGAACATTTTCCACTAACTTTTTCTTGAGGGTGAAAATGTGCGTTCACTGAAACTGTTAGGAGGTCTTTTCTGTAGACACACTGATTAATATCCAAAGAATAGCGCACTCTATGCGCAGCTGAACTGCCACAAATGCAGAGAATTTTATTCCTAAAACCATTGCTGGATTGCCCTGTGGGGATTGTGGTTTGGATGGCTGTTTCCTGCAGGTTAGGCCTTCTGGCTGAACTACCTTTGCTAGGATGAATCGCAGCCTCAGCTGGTGTCCTCCCAGAGAAAACCATGTACATGCGTGTACGTGTGCACACACGCACAACTCAGCCAGGCAGCTCTGGGATGGGTCTATAAAACACTGATGTGGTTCCTCAGACACTTTTACCTTCTACACTCTCATACAGGGACACAAGTCTGCTAAGGCCACTATGGAAGTTTTAGCGGCATAACAGCTTTTCCACCTCTGTCTGACTCCTGACAGGGGAACAGGACAGCCAGCCTGAGCTGCATGTGAAAGCAGGTGGCCCTGGTGGCAAGCTATGTGCTGCACTATGAAAGAAGGTAACTACACCCAAAGGCTAATAAAAAAATGTACAGCTTCTCTGCTCCTGACACAAAAGAGCCAAAGGTAGACTAAAAGCATCACTATCAGGAGACATTTCTCCTTCCTCAGTGTCAGGCTCTGCAGGTCACCCTGCAGGAGGACGCACTCATATGTTTCTCATGCATGTAATTTTTAGGTGATTTCCAGTTGAGCTGACAACAATGACCTGGGATAACCTGAATTTTGCTATCGCAGGCCTGAGCGGCCACGGACTGATACTGCAGCTCTGCTGACCAAGTGGCATGATTGCCAACATGAGGATACCTGGACATAGCAAAGCCACCTCTTCATTCTCCTATACTAGCTCACTCATATTTTTTTACTGTTAAACCAAGCTGCTTATAAGACAGTCACCTTCCTGCTACAGAAATTGGTACAGACCATGTCATTAAATATATGTGCGACATAAGGAGAAGGGAAGTGCTCTACTAACAAAAATGGATGTTCTTCAGGAAACAGGAGTACCCAACACCTGCCTCCACCATCTCCCTACAACAAGCAGCATCTGGATTCCAACTCCTGCAATGAGTTCTGTGGCCTTCCTTTGGCACCATCTTACCTTCAACTAAAAAGGTGAAGGCAGTGCCTCCAAGGCTGTGAACACAACTGGAATACGCTTCCTGCCTGGAGTAAGGGCAAGTAATCTAAGGAAGAGGTGGAAAGGCTCTTGCACAAGTAAAAAGAAAAGCCACTAACAAGTATGCAGCCACTTTTGTGGCTAATGGGATGGAGATGACATAAGCAGCAAAAGATGCTGCTGTTTGATTAGCTGGGAGGGGACTTTCACGTGTAGGGTATTATAGAAGCAGTGGGGGCAGCCCTGGCATCCTGAATTATAATCTGGTAAAAACACTAGCTGACAGAAATGGGATCTTCCTCACAGAAGTGCTAAATGAAACAACAAAAAGAAAGGAAGAAAGGAAGAAAGGAAGAAAGGAAGAAAGGAAGAAAGGAAGAAAGGAAGAAAGGAAGAAAGGAAGAAAGGAAGAAAGGAAGAAAGGAAGAAAGGAAGAAAGAAAGAAAGAAAGAAAGAAAGAAAGAAAGAAAGAAAGAAAGAAAGAAAGAAAGAAAGAAAGAAAGAAAGAAAGAAAGAAAGAAAGAAAGAAAGAAAGAAAGAAAGAAAGAAAGAAAGAAAGAAAGAAAGAAAGAAAGAAAGAAAGAAAGAAAGAAAGAAAGAAAGAAAGAAAGAAAGAAAGAAAGAAAGAAAGAAAGAAAGAAAGAAAGAAAGAAAGAAAGAAAGAAAGAAAGAAAGAAAGAAAGAAAGAAAGAAAGAAAGAAAGAAAGAAAGAAAGAAAGAAAGAAAGAAAGAAAGAAAGAAAGAAAGAAAGAAAGAAAGAAAGAAAGAAAGAAAGAAAGAAAGAAAGAAAGAAAGAAAGAAAGAAAGAAAGAAAGAAAGAAAGAAAGAAAGAAAGAAAGAAAGAAAGAGAAAGAAAGAAAGAAAACAACTCACAAGCAAACAACAGAAGGCCCCAAACAAATAAAAACAAACAAAAAAACCCCCACAAAGCAGATGAGTGCATTCTTTGAAATGTGATGTTTGATGACACCGTAGCCTGGCCCTAAATAACATACTCTAAACAACTGTCTTACCTCACAGTGTTGCAACTAAACCCAGTCTTTATTCCACCTACTGCAACCAGTGCTAATTGTGGCCCAGGGGCAGAGGATTTCAACACAATGGCCAAGGTTAAAATTAGGCTGATTACTAGAATAAACTTGATTTGGTTAAAACCAGTGCTTAGCATCAGATACTTTTTTTTTTTCAGTAGAACTACACAGATAAGAGCCCTTGCCCGTACTGCGACTCCCATGAGTGACAGAGAATGACTGTATACTTGCATCTCATAAAGAATCAAGCTTCCTCTGGATCTTATCAAATGTCACAACTATCAATATTTATTTGCCCTTCCCTGTGACTGGTTTTAATGGGGAGGCACAAGGGACATTTTAAAGCATAATGGCAGCTTTGAGTGGAATTACCATGACACTGTTTAGACAACATTTCATAACAAAATGTCTAGTTTACCCAGTAAGAAACATCACACACCTGCCATCCCAAGTCTTGGAAGCTAACATAAAGCTCATGCTTTCTGCATGCTGTTTTTAAGTCACTGCTGTTGTAATCTGTTAAAAGAAAAAGAAAAAAAACAGGAATTTAGAAAGTAAAACAGAGTGGAGGGCACAACTGGCCAGATGTGTGCACACTGCAGGCTCAGCAGTAAGAAACGATGAGCTCCCCCAGCAGCAAAAAGGATAAGGTTGTTGAGGGACATCCAAAGCAAAGCTGAAGCTTTTAAGACACCTGTGGAAATGAAGGCACCCAAGGAACAGTGACTTGGTTATAATTCCTTCGGCTGCCTTTAATAACTTGACAAGCAGTGCTTGTAAAACACCTCCAGTAAAATTACTTTTTCCTCAGCTGTGGTTTCTGACACGTGCTGCCCTAGGTACTAAGCTCAAAACAAACACAATTACCAAAAGAATTGCAACTCCAGGAAGGTTCATCATCATCTTATGCCCCTCCACCAGTTAGCAGAAGTCCTTAAACAGCTAAGATGACCCATAGTCAATGAGGTCATGTCTTCGTCCCTCTCTGTGCCTTACCCCCAGCCTGTCCTGGACATCACACACAGCTCCATGCATCATCTCAGCTCTTGGACCTTTATAAGCCATGCTGTAGAAAACAAGTTTCTCCTTCTCATAATCTGCTTATCTGCAGATGACATAGGATTTGACACTCTATCAATGTTAACTTGCTCCTTCATGCCAATGCTTCACAGAAAAAAACAGGGGCATGGGTTGCAAAGTCCTGACCAGAGATCTTCCCCTTGGCCGTGGTGCGATGTATGAGTATGTTGGAACATGCAGGAGCTGCTCCTGATGGCCCTATAAAATGCAGCTTTTGACAGCGGGTGGAATTTCCCATTTATGTTTGGAAAGAGAGGCGGCACCGCACGTGAACACCTGGAGCCTCAGCGAGGGGAAGAACTGAGCTGTGACAGAGGGGCCTTTCACCCTGGGGTGGCTGCACAAATCCAGCCTTGGCAGGCGGTGGCTGCTCTCGTCAGGCCTGGGTGGCTGCCCGACCTCAGTGCACAGAAACCACAGAAACCACTTTCACAGTGGGGTGGCCTGGCCACTGGCTACAGCTGC